ACTCCTTGGATTTCAGAGTTTTGTCTTATCCGCGTTAACAGTGATTCTAAAGCAAGTATAAATAGGAGGGGTGAGAGGGGGCAACCCTGTCTGACACCCTTTTCAATGTTTAATGGGCCTGTTTGTTCACCATTAATTAGTATATTGGCCTGTTGGGTATTGTAAATTGTTGTGATAATGTTCTCGAATTTAGTGCCCAGACTTATGTTATAGATTTTTTGTATTAAAAAGTGCCAATGTAGATTATCAAATGCTTTCTCCGCATCTAAAAACATGAGTGCAAATTGTTTCTCTGGATGAACTTCATAATATTCTAAGACGTCAATAATGGTTCTTAGATTATTTTTGATTTGGTGGGATGGAAGGAAACCATTTTGGTCTTCATGAATGTATAAATTTAAAACTTGTTTTACTCTATTCGCTATAATTGAGGTAAATAATTTATAGTCAGCGTTTAAAAGTGAGATTGGTCTATAATTGTTGATATATCTGGCATCTATATCCTCCTTCGGAATTAACGAAATCAATGCCCCCCTCCATGAGTCTGGCATTTTGGCTGCCAAAAGTACTTCGTTAAACACTTCCAGCATCAGTGGCCCTACTAACTCTATTGTGGCTTTGTACAATTCTATTGGAATCCCGTCTGGGCCAGGGGATTTATTATTACTTTGATTCTCCATTGCAGATTTCAACTCAGACCATGTAATATCCTTATTTAATAATTCTTTCTCTCCTTCCCCTATTGTTTTATCATTCGTATTCTCCAGATAAGTTCTTATTTTGTCTTCATTGATTTCTTCTTTTTTATATAATCTTTGAAAATAGTTTAACATAATATCTTTTTTCTTCTCAATCTCATGTTGTGGTATGCCTTTCTCGTCTATTAGTTGGTGTATCAGTCTCTTTTCTTTTTCTTTTTTAAGTTTATAAGATAGCCATCTTCCTGGTTTATTGGCGTGTTCAAAATAATTTTGTTTGGACCTTCTCAAGCTAACTTCTATTTTATCTTGTTCAATTAAATTCAGCTTATGTTTGGCTAATATTAACTGGTTTTGTATTCCTTAGATCTTAGGGGTTTTTTGTAATTGTATTTCTAAATCTTTGATTTGTTGTTGTAATACATTTTGTTGGGCATAAGTTCTCTTGTTTCTCATAACATTATAGGAAATTGTTGTACCTCTTATAATTGCTTTCATAGTATTCCAAATATTCTGTTTTGAAGTTGTTTCATTATTATTATCTTTTAGAAGATAGTTTAGCTCCTCTTTCAGCTTATTAATATACTCTTCTTCATTTACTATTTGGGTGTTGAGTGTCCATCTTTTTTTTATTCCTCTCCTATCTCTCCAAATTAGCTGTATTGGGTTGTGGTCAGCCCATTCATTTGGTAGGATTTTAATTTCTTTTATTTCATTAGCCAAATCCAAATCCATCCAAGCCATATCTATTCTAGTCCAAGTCTTATGTGGATTAGAATAGTATGTAAATTGTTTCTCTTCAAGATTCTGTTCCCTCCATAAATCTTTTAAATTTAACTCTTTCATCATTTCCTTACATGCCGCAGAAAGTTCCCTTTTCCCCTTCTTGTTTTTTCCCATATTACTATGGTCTTTTTGGTAGTCTGCAATGGAGTTAAAATCGCCAATCAAGCAAATGTTCCTTTTTTCAAAGCCTACTATTTTTTGGTGGAGGTGTTTAAAAAATTTCCCTTGGTCTTCATTTGGGGCATAGATTGCTACAAGTAAAAATGCGATGTGGTTTATCCAAACTTGTATAACCAGAGTTCTTCCTTCGGGATCCGACCAGGTTAATTCTGCCCTTACATCTTGTTTTACGTAAATTGCAATTCCTTTTTTCTTTTGTTTATCAGTCGGTGCCGTAAAAATTTTCCCTAATTTTGGACAAATTAGATGTCTTTCATCATTTTTCGAAATATGTGTTTCTTGAAGACATATTATATCTGCGTTATGTTGACTAAGTTTTGAAACTATCCTTTTTCTTTTTGATATTGAATTTAATCCATTTATATTGATGGAGAGCAACTTCTTCCCCTCCACCATTTATCTACGTCTGCTTAGATTTTTGCCTAATAATGATTCGATTCTCTTGTTGTTGTTGTTGTGGGATTTGCCCTTCTCTCCCAGGTTGTGGTTTATCACTTCCTGAAATTGGAGAAAGTCGTTCCTTTTGGGTTCTGTGATGATATCGGTCCTCCTGTGGTCTCCTTTTAAGTTCTTCTTTAGTGGATTGACCATTCGTATCCGTGAGCTGTTGATAAAAATCTTGGGCCTGTTCTATCGATTCTATTTTGATTTTCCTCTCTTTCCACGTAATTAACATCCCTTCCGGGATTAACCATTTAAATTGGATTCCTTTTTTATTTAAATCATTAGCTAGAAATTTATAATCTTGTCTTATCATCCTCACTTTCTTTGGAATTTGTTTTAAAATCATAATTTCTCTACCTTTATATGATATTGTTTCCTCCCTAGACATTTTCAAAATTAAATCCCTCAGACATCTCCTAGAGAAGCGGATATGGATTTTTCTTGGGCAGTTGTTGCGTCTGGCGTAGCTTGTGCTAACCCTATATACCTCATCAAACTCTTTAATTAGATCATCTTTTTCCTTTCCTAACCATTCAGCCAATATTACTGCCATCAAATGTTCCAATTCTTCATTTTTTGCTTCAGCCACATTCTGGAACCTTAAATACGCCATTGCTTTGTCCATCTCGAGGTGGACCAGTGAGTCTTCCGTTTCTCTAAGTACATTTTTAAATTCCTCATCCATCCTTTCAGAGTTAGTCTCCATGCGTATTGTTCTACTCTCTATATCTTTTATTTTCACTTCGTTTTTCTCCATGGCCTGCTGTAGAGACCCTATCTTACCCTCCACCTTCGATATGTCCGCTTTTATTTCAGCCTTCAGTTTCCCCATCTCATCTTTCAATTCGCTTATATCTGCTCTAGTTTCATTGTGATTTTTAATCATCATTTCTTGCATTTTAGATATAGCTTCCTGCAAGGATAATAGGGAAGTTTGCATATTAATGTTGGGGACATTAGGCTGCTTTTCCCCTGTTAAGGACTCCTCAATAGTTTTTTGAGTTGTTGGTGGGGTGGATGTCAACGTAGTCGATAGGGTCGGGGTAGCCTTCCTTCCTGTTTTTAAGGCCATAGTTGTCGTGGATGTCACCTCTCTAAGTATTTGTTTTTGTTGATGCACAATTTTAGATATATTATCCCAAATCACCATTCAGTGTTTGGGTCTTGTATTTGAAAATCTATTCGCGTATTTCAATTTAATATCTCACTCCACAGTCTTTTCCCCTATATCATAAATAGATATCTACTACAGTATTCGAGTCTATGTAATAAGAAAATTGGTCAGCAATAGTACATCAATTAACACTTTAAGGAATTAATCTTAAATGTCTTAAGTAGTCTAAATAATTTATAAATAGTTTATATCAACAGAGTTTATCCCTCTTTACTATTAATACTTACAACAGTAATCTCTTAACTCTATAATAATAGTATACCCCCCTCTTTTTTTCCCCCCAAATAAGTAGAATTATGTAAGCTATTTAGGAGAGGCAGGGGGCAAAACAATAAGAGAAAGGGTAGGAGAGAGATTACCACAGCTTCAGAGAATCAATAAACAAAAAGCAAGGAAGTCATCTTAAGGAGAAAGTAGTGCCAAACTAGTAATATTAAGTAGTACCACGTAAAAGAAAGCAAGTTGGGTGAGCTAAAAGTCCATCTTCCAACTAAAGAATTCTTTTCAGCCTTCCAATCAGCAAATGGTGTAATGTGCTGACTAATCTACAATCCCAAAAGCGTCTTTCCCAGCCTTCTGTTCGCCTCTGCCTTCTTCCTCTTGCTGCTTCTTCTTTCTTTGCTTTCCAACTTTTAAATCAACATACAAATCTTCCAAAGTCCAATATAATGCTCAGTTTGTCTTCTCCACAATATTAAATAGATGTAATAGTCATGTTGTGCTCAGATCTGAGGATTCATAAGACTCAATCAATGTCAGTATTCTTTCACCTCCGTCGCCTCCCTTTTCTCAAGTAAAGTCAAAAAGAAAGATCCAAAAATCAGATGAAGCCCCTCACCAATTCCGGACCTCCAATCTCCTGGTTTTAGCAATCTCCCTCTTTCCCCAGCGCTTTCCTTTCACAGGGTAAATCTGTGCTTTCCTTTTGTGCTTAGGCTTTTCCACTCTCCATTATAATCCTTTCATTTTCCCAACTGCTTTTCTGGCAGCTTTCCGCCCGACTTCTGAGAGGTGCTAATCACAACCAGGAGAGAAGAATTTATGCTGTCATTCTTCTGTCATTCTGCTCTCTTCAGTCTTCAGAGGATCCAAGTTATAAACCGTTTCTCTGTTCCTGTTACTCTCGGCCTCGCAGGCTGTCACTGCTTTGCTTATTCACTCAAGTGGCAGACCGGACTTGAAGCCGCAATAGAATGACAGCTTACTCTTTTGCGCCAGGCTCAGGAGCTTCCCTCTTCACTGTCGGGGGGTTGCCTTCCCCCCTCTGCAGCTCGAGGTTCTCCACGTTGACACGAACCTCTCCGGGGTTCGTGTATCCCTGGGGGATCGTTCCTGGCACCAGAAAAGGTGTTCAAAGACTGCGACAGCCTTCTTCACCTCCGTTCTCCCTGTCCTGCCACCGCTCTCCCTCTGGAGGTTTTCAAGAGGAGACTGGACAGCCACTTGTCTGGATGGAATGATGCTCCTGCCTTGAGCAGAGAGTTAGATAAAAGACTTGCCCTATGATTCTGTGTTCTATGTTTTTAAACTGTGAAAAGCTTTGTTGAAGTTTTACTGGAAATATAACTTCCTTGGTAAGAATTGAGGAACAAAATTAACATTCAGTGGCTGAAGGATCTCCTATTCTTCTCTAGAATATAGTGATGAAGATAAGCTGATTAGCTAGGAAGACAGGATATAATTAAATAATATCAGTAACCCCTCCCCCCCCGACATACCTCCTTTCTGTAGCAGGTAGATGGGGACAACATAGAGCATGATATGTTGAATGTAATAGATTTCCATCTCAAAAGGTAGCTGCAAAAAAAAGGAAGTATAGATTGATAAATACAGACTGGTGTGCACACAGCTCAGAGTAATTTTCCTTGACTATGTGATCAACTTAAATTCAATTTCAGGTCAGTTGTATTCAATACAAGTAGTCCTCAACTTACAACAGTTCATTCAGTGTCCATGCAAAATTACAACGGCACTGAAAAAAGTGACTTATGAACATTTTTCACATTTACAACCGTTAAAGCATCTCTATGGCCACGTGATCAAAATTCAGGTGCTTGGCAACTGCTGCAGTGTTCTGGGATCACGTGATCTCTTTTTGTGGCCTTGATTTCAAGCAAAATCAATGGGATGCCAGATTCATTGAACAACCGTTACTAACTTAAGAACTGTAGTGTTTCACTTAACAACTAAGGCATGAAGTCATAAAATGGGGCAAAATTCACTTAACAAATGTCTCACTTAGCAACAGAAATTTTGGGCTCACCTGTGGTTGTAAGTAGAGGATTACCTGTATTGTATGCCTCTAGAGCGGGGGTGTCAAACTCAAGGCCCAGGGGCCAGATCTAGCCAGTGGGTTGCTTAGATCTGGGCCGCTGGGCCGCCCTGAAAACAGAGAAGGTGCCTCTGCCAGCAAACATGGAACTCTGGAGTGCCATTGCAACCCCCCCTCCCCCCAAGCTTCATTTTGTCTAGCAGAGGGCTGCAGGGGGCCGGCCCAGCCAAAAACGGAGCTTGGGAGCCCCTTATCTCTGGTAGAGTGCTGGGGCCACCACCAGCTGGGACACCACTTGTGTCTCCTTCTAACTCAAGAAAGTAAAAACTCTTGAAAAGGAACCTTTTACTGAGCAGAAGTGAAAACAGGACAAAGGCAAAGCAGAATCTAAATCCTTCCAGGCAAAAGTTAGAAATAAGGCATTAGAAACCCCTCCCTCCAGTTCAACGTGGATTCAGCCAATCCACAGGTGTGAATATGTTATTGCAACAGCTGTCCTGAGAACCAGGCATTCCAAGGGTCAGAGTGAAACAACCCACATGGCCCTCCCCCCTAGTACATTCCCCAAAAGGTGAGAAAATCTCAAGGCACTCAGGCGCCAGGGTAAAGGTTATAAACTAGCAGTTGTCGGAGGAAATAAAGAATCTAATTTGAGGTCTCCCCCCCCCTTCTCCGAATTGAATGGCAGTATCACTTTAGGGGATCTGACAGATGTTTTCCTCTTGGAGAGTCAAGAGTAGCCAGGATGGTAGGGTGGAAGCTTTGAAGAGTGCTGAATACAAACCGGAATTCTAAAAGCCTATCACAATATAGTCACAAAACCACAGAACTATTCATTTTCATCAATCAGGGTTGTCTCTGATGCTGTCATAAATGTTTTCATCAGTTGCTCAACAGAGAACATTTCTGCAAACAAATGCACTGCAACGTCACCCAGACTTAAAATAACGTTCTTTGGTATGAAAATGTTTTATCTTACAGATTAACTACAAGTAGCCCTCGATTTACAACCATTCATTTAGTGATTATTTCAAGGTACAACAGCACTGAAAAAAGTTACTTATGACTGGTCCTCACACTTATGGCCATTGCGCTAATGCAAGGGTAATGTGATCAAAATCCAGATACTTGGCAACTGATCCATCCTGGGATCACGTGATCCCCTTCTGTGACCTTCTGACAAGCAAAGTCAATGGGGAAGCCAGATTCACTTAACAACCGCAGTATTTCATTTAACAACTGTGCAAAAAGATGGGGCAAAATTCACAACTGTCTTGCTAAGCAATGGAAATTTGGGGCTTTATTGTGATAAGTCAAGGACCACCTGTTTAGGTAGTCCTTAACTTATAACCACAGTTGATTCCAAAATTTTGGTCCTAACTCAATGCAATCATTAAGAAAGTCCCCATGTCCTCTAACGTCAATTTTACAATGGTTGTTAAGCGCTGTGGTCAGTAGGTGAACCAGTGGTCATGAAGCAAATCCAGCATTTCCAATGGGCGCAACAATAATAAAAAAGTCACAGATCAGAATTACACAACCACAGGCCGCTGCAACCAGTCACAAATGCAAGTGGGGAGTTGTGGCAGTTGTAACTTTGAGGACAGATTGTAAATAGCTTTTTTTAAGACTGTCACACTCTCACAATGTCATTAACTGAGGACTACTTGTATTTAGGCTACTATATTCCTTGGTAAACCAAAATCAAAAACCCACAATACAACAAATCAGGTCATTAACATGTAAAGCAACAATCCCAGTTATGATCACACAAAAAGAAAGATGGCACCATCAACAGACTCCACTTATTATGACATTTTAACTAAAGAGTTAAAGACCTGGATCAGATATTGGTACCACAAACATTGCAACATGGCCAAGCTTCACCACAGCCGAATTAAGAGCATTAGATGGGATGCAAGAAACAACTCAACTATCTTACTCAACCCAAGATTATACACTGCTCAAAAAAATAAAGGGAACACTTTAACAACACAATGTAACTCCAAGTCAACCACACTTGTGTGAAATCAAACTGTCCACTTAGGTAGCAACACTGATTGACAATCAATTTCACATGCTATTGTGCAAATGGAATAGACAATAGGTGGTAACCATAGGCAGTTAGCAAGACATCCCCAATAAAGGAGTGGTTCTGCAGGTGGTGACAACAGACCACTTCTCAGTTCCTATGCTTTCTGGCTGATGGTTTGGTCACTTCTGAATGCTGACGGTGCTTTCACTCTAGTGGTAGCATGAGACGGAGTCTACAACCCACACAAGTGGCTCAGGTAGTGCAGCTCATCCAGGATGGCACATCAATGTGAGCTGTGACAAGGTTTGCTGTGTTGTCAGCGTATTGTCCAGAGCATGGAGGCGCTACCAGGACACAGGCTAGTACATCAGGAGACGTAGGAGGCCGTAGGAGGGCAACAACCCAGCATCAGGATCGCTACCTCCACCTGTGTGCAAGGAGGGACAGGAGGAGCACTGCCAAATGACCTCAGGCAGGCCACAAATGTGCATGTGGCTGCTCAAACAGTCAGAAACAGACTCCATGAGGGTGGTATGAGGGCCCGACGTCCACAGGTGGGGGTTGTGCTTATAGCCCAACACCGTGCAGGACGTTTGGCATTTGCCAGAGAACACCAAGATTGGCAAATTCACCACTGGCACCCTGTGCTCTTCACAGATGAAAGCAGGTTCACACTGAGCACAGTGTGAGTGTAACAGGGTCTGGAGACACCGTGGAGAATGTTCTGCTGCCTGCAACATCCTCCAGCATGACCGGTTTGGCAGTGGGTCAGTAATGGGGTGCAGTGGCATTTCTTTAGGGGGCCGCACAGCCCTCCACATGCTTGCCAGAAGTAGCCTGACTACCATTAGGTACCGAGATGAGATCCTCAGACCCCTTGTGAGACCATATGCTGGTACAGTTGGCCCTGGGTTCCTCCTAATGCAAGACAATGCTAGACCTCATGTGGCTGGAGTGTGTCAGCAGTTCCTGCAAGACAAAGGCATTGATGCTATGGACTGGCCTGCCCGTTCCCCCGACCTGAATCCAATTGAACAAATCTGGGACATCATGTCTTGCTCCATCCAATAATGCCATGTTGCACCACAGACTGTCCAGGAGTTGGGGGATGCTTTAGTCCAGGTGTGGGAGGAGATCCCTCAGGAGATCATCCACCACCTCATCAGGAGCATGCCCAGGCATTGTAGGGAGGTCATACAGGCACATGGAGACCACACACACTACTGAGCCTCATTTCGACTTGTTTTAAGGACATTACATCAAAGGTGGATCAGCCTGTAGTGTTTTTATCCACTTTAATTTTGAGTGTAACTCCAAATCCAGACCTCCATGGGTTGCTAAATTTGATTTCCACTGATAATTTTTGTGTGATTTTGTTGTCAGCACGTTCAACTATGTGATGAACAAACTATTTAATAAGAATATTTCATTTATTCAGGTCTAGGATGTCTTATTTTTGTGTTCCCTTTATTTTTTTGAGCAGTGTACATAGCTGTCTAGCGTGCGTTGACCTCTTTCAGATAAGTTTTAGAAGCTGGAAGCTTTGACATTTAAAAATATCAAATGTATACAAACACAGTCCGTTAAAATAGCCTTCCATACCATCTTCCTATCATAATCATTCCTTTTTCACAATGGACTCCTTGTTTTGTTTAGATTTTGATTAGCCAGAGAATTGTTTCATTTTTAGGAAGCGAACAAGGCAGAAAGTGCAATAAGCTGCGCTCAATTAATCAAGATTATCTCTACATTGGTTTGCTCCAGAGACAAAGAGATGTTCCCAACCCTTTAAGGTTTCAGGAGGCTTTGAAGAACCGGTTGTTCCTCTACATTTGAGGTTGAGCAAACTCTGCTACTTAAATTGGTTTTTGTTGTTCCTTTTTTTAAAATGGAAAGGCTTCTGCAACCTTGGACATTATTTGGACAGTTGATTTTTTTTCTGGTTCTTTTAATCCTCATATGCTACCCAAAGTTATTGCCAAAAACAATGAGCAGCCAGAGAAATGAAATAAATCAGTAAATAAATGCCGCAAGCTTTAAAAAGGGAGGAAAGCATGAAAGGCCTGAGGTCCAGCCAGCCAGGTATTAGAGATTCTTGGCATAGGGATCCATGTGGGACTCAGGCCCAGCTCTATCTTTAACTGTGGAAACTTGTTGGGTGACTTCAGACCAGTCCCCACCTACCGATTTCAGCCCAATGTGACCTGCCAGGGTGGTTGCTAGAGGAAAATTGCACAGAAAAATATGTAACCCACCTGGAGAGAGTGAATGAAAGGAAGGACAGAAAGCTAGCAAATAAGTAAGCAAGAAAATATACAAACAAAGGACAGGTTGCTGGAAAAACCCAACACTGATCATTGCTTTGCATTCCTAAGAGTTTTAATCAGTTTTTTGACACTTGGCAACTTTAAGATGTATGGACTTCAACTCCCAGAATTCTCCAGCCAGCCATGCGTTCTGGGAATTGAAGTCCATGTATCTTAAAAGTTG